ACATAACACACACACAACACACACACACACACACACACACACACACACACACACACACACACACACACACACACACACACACACACACACACACACACACACACAGTCATTTTAAGTATCTTTGTAATCATTGTGTGTCTCTTTGTAGTAATTTCTGCCTTTTTTAAGTCATTTTGAGTGTCTTTATAGTCATCTTATCCTTCTTTGTAGTTATTTTGAGCAACTTTGTGGTAATTTTGTCGACAGGAAGTGAAGTCAGGGAGTTACCTTTGTCTGGAACCAGATCTCCAGCTCTCTCTGGTTCTTGGCGGTGACGCTTTCGTAGTACTCTCTGATCTCAGCTATCTCCTTATTGAGGTCGGGACCCTGAGCGGCGTCCACCTCCACGTGTACCTGGCCGCTCATCTGAGCACGCATCGCCAGCAGCTCCTACGGGGAAACAACAAGAAACAAGAGTTTACCTGCTTCTATTTGTTATAGTACACAATAAAAGCACATGTAACTTGTTTATGGCTTTAAATTATCATTATAAGGTTAATGATAAATATAATGGCTATACAACAGTATTATTAACATTTCGATTGGTTCCCTACAAGCATTGATTTCACTTTACATTCATACAAATATACAAAATACATTCAAATTGATATACGTCCTGATCAGATTTGATTTATAATAAATATCATATAACAATGTATTTTTAATAATGCAGTACTTTTCAAGTTTGATTAAAGAGGCCTGGAAGAAAACCTGCAACACTTATTTATGACTTACATTTTTAAAAGTAGATTTGAACAGCGGTCTGTAATTAAATAAAGCTAGCTTTTTTGTGCTCTCTGACCTCTTCATGGTTCTTCCTGAGGAAGATCAGCTCCTCTCTCAGACCCTCGATCTGCATCTCCAGGTCGGACCGGCTCATGGTCAGCTCGTCCAGGACTCTCTTCAGTCCGGCGGTGTCAGCCTCAACAGACATACGCATGGCCAGCTCGTTCTCATACCTGCACAGAATGACATAATAAATAATATTTTAAAATACATTTATCGATTTTCCTTCCATAACATGCCATTTGAAAGAAAGTATCCCAAACAACATTTAGGAGTTTATTTTACTAAATGTGTCTATTTGGCAGCAGCACTAGTTGCAGTAGGCTACTTGTTGCAGTAGTAACTGTAAAAGTTGCAGTAGTAGCAGTGCAGGTTATACTAATAGCAGCACTAGTTGCAGTTGTATCTTTAGTAGCTGCTGTAAAAGATGCAGATATTATATTCATAAGATGCTGCAGTAGCTTTATTTGCTGTTGTAGTAACAATACCAGTGTCGTTTTAATATAAGCTGTTATATTTGAAGTATTTTTGTTAGTTGTAGTACTAGCTTTTGCAGTATTAGCTTTGTTAGCTGCAGCAGTGGCTAGCTTTATTAGTTACAGTATTAGTATTAGCTTAATGAGCTGCGCTTTGTTAATTGCGGTAGTAAGCTAGCTATGTTATAGCTGCAATATTAGCTGCAATAGTAGGCTAGCTTTATTAGCTGCAGTAGTTTTCTTTTTGTTTACTTTAATCAATAGTATTAGCTGCAGTAGAAGCCTTATTAGCTAGTAGTTCATGACTTTCGTCAGTTTAGACCTGATCAACCTGTATGAACGGTGTCTTCACACCTGTTCAGTATCAGTGTTAGTGTGGGGAAGGTAAACAGGTGTCAGTTGACTGACAGGTGGCAGCAGCAGGCTGTCAGCCCACTCTTAAAACTGGTTCTAATTAACACGCTTCAGGAGAGTAATCTGTTAATCTGATATTTTACAGAATCATTCATGCACAATTTAACGTGTGTGTGTGTTTGTGTATGTGTGTGTGTGTGTGTGTGTGTGTGTGTGTGTGTGTGTGTGTGTGTGTGTGTGTGTGTGTGCACGTGCGCTCGTGCGCTCTCACTTGGTCCTGAAGTCGTCTGCAGCCAGCCTGGCGTTGTCGATGGTGAGATGAATTGTTCCGTTCACACTGATGGCGCCGTGAATCTAGAAAAAATAAATAAGGTTATCTTAAATGTATACACAATATTCATCTTCTGATGGAAGGTATACACATGAGTAACACATCTAAAGTGCATAGTGCATACACAAAGCTATATCTGTTTTCATTTATTAAATAAACTAATACATCTCCCCCCACTTACATTAGTTATTTCATGCGTTATAATACCACTACTACAGTTGTTGCTTGAAGAAATAAATAACACTGTTTGCTAGTGACGTAGTAGAGTATATAACATGATCAGATGACAAAATAAAAAGTAATTTATATCCACCCAGATTATAATGGAAAACATTATTACATTATAATCACATAATTTGTATATCATTTTGTAAGTGATAAAAACTGAGTAATATGATATAATAGAACAAGACTTGGATTTACTACGTTTATTGAGGTAAAGGATATGAGTACACTGCATTTACTCAGTTACCCTACTTAGTATGTGTAATTTTGTGGTACTTGGCTATTTTCCACCCATATACCTTTGTTACTTCTGAGTCGTCAGAATCAGAGATACTGCATTTTATTCCTGATTTCGAAACAGTTGCTCTATTTAAGAATACAACCAAATAAAACATATTTTTTATAAAAATAGAGATGTTCAAGTAAAAAAGTGAATATTGTAATGCAATTTGTAAAATCAATAATTAAATATCGTTGTGATAAATTAGGATTTTTTGATACAAATCACACTTAAGAGTTAGTGAACTATGAAGATTTTGTTATGCTTTCATGTATTTAAAATGATTTTGGGCCAGTACTTTTCCTGCATTATCTGAGAATAGTACCTTGGCGGTGAGTTCTGCGATGGTGGCGGTGAAGGCTCTGTGGTCTCGGGTGCTGGGGCCGGCCTTGCTCTCCAGGAACTGTCTGATCTTCAGCTCCAGCTCTCCGTTGGCCTTCTCCAGGCTGCGCACCTTGTCCAGGTAAGTGGCCAGGCGGTCGTTCAGGTTGTTCATGGTGGCCTTTTCATTCCCAATGATACTGTCATTCATACCAGCCATGCTGAAGCTCGTGCTCATGCTGCCGTAGCTGCCTCCTCCGCCACCGCCTCTTCCCATGGAGATGCTGCCGTAGCTGCCTCCTCCGCCACCGCCTCCTCCCATGGAGATGCTGCCGTAGCTGCCGCCTCCGCCACCGCCTCCGCCACCGCCTCCTCCCATGGAGATGCGGCTCCCTTGGCCTCCCGCCCCGCCGTACACGCTGCCCGCCCTCATGCCAATCATGTTGCTGGAGGAGCTCCGCATGGAGGAAGATGAAGAACGATTGAAGGACATGATGTCTTTGTGCAGGCACAGAGAGGAGAGTGAAGGGCTGCAGCACGCGCCTCCTTTTAAACCTTCAGCTCCATCAATCACTCCACAGGTGCAGCTCTGACAGGTATGCACAGGAAGCGTCTCCTCTGTGGGTGGGGCCAGGTATGGTCAGAGAAAAATGTAACCTTTAAAGAGCTGCACACAGGCGTGACAATGCAGGTTTGCTTTGCTGTGTATCTTTTTCAGGGTGTTGCTCTGTGACCTTTGCAACTTATTACCCAGCAGCAGTGGTGGGAAAAGTTCTCATATCTTGTATACCTTAGTAAAAGTAGAGGTACCAGAGTGTAGGAATACAAGTAAAAGTACAAAAGTATTACCATAAAAATATACTTAAAGTACCAAAAGTAAAAGTACTCATTGTGTAGATTGGCCCTTTTCAGAATATATTATATATTTTATAATTATTGATCATTAAAGTGTTATCAAATTTGGTAAAGGTGCAGCTAGTTTGAATGGCTTTGTATACTGCGGGGTACCTTGTGAATTTACTCCCGGTGGAACTAAAGTATGATTTAAGAGTTGATTATATTTCACATCATTCATCCACATCTGTAAAGTAACTGAATATATTAAATCAATGTAGTGGAGTACACTACTCCATTTACCTCTGAATCTTAGTGGAGTAGAAGCAAAAAGTAACATAAAATGGAAATACTCAAGGAAAGTGCAAGTATCTCAAAGTTCTACTCAAGAACTTGAGTAAATGTGTAAATCACCCAGACGGCATCTGGACTTTACTCTATTTGAATATTTCGAAGTTGTCCCAATTTACACTTACCACATTTCATCCCAGACTGACAGACAGATGTTGACTATGTGTACGTTGCGTTTAAATGAGCCCACTGCATATTGAGTACTTTTGACAAGTACATTTTGCTGAAGTAATTCAGGACTTTTACCGGTATTGGAGTATTTTCTGTTGTTAAAAACAATTCAAGTTAATTTAGCTGATAATGCTGGTGCACAATGTTTTTATTTGTATTCCATAGATGTCCCTTACGCTTAGGACATGTCCCCTCCAGTTTTGTTTTTGAATGTTCCTTAAAAATAGCATGCACAAAGCTTGTGATGAATGAGACTGCATTAAGAGAGGTTTATTTGCACAAGAGAACATGTTCAAACTACTGTTCCCACTTGGTGGGTGTATTTCTGGGGACCCAAGTGGTACAATTTGGACATGTGCCACATTTAATCTTTGGAGACTTTGAATAAAAAAATTGCGATGGATGGCAAACATCTCTTCTGCTTTGCAGCAGCGGGGCAGGGTGAACAGCACGCTGTGCAGCAGATGGGTACAGCCAGGAACTGCACTAATTGTATTGTGTGGGGTGCATTACACTAATTTTTCTTAATTGGAAAAAAGAGTCTCACCACTTGATGAAACAAAGTCACGTCCATGTTTGAGAGATTGATATTACTACTTTTTCTTAAGTGAAACATCTAAGTACTTTGTGAACCACTGCTTTAACTGAAGCGGTGTATTCAGTTTCAAATTAAAGGTACATTCTCTCTTTACTTCGTAGACTACATCAGAGCTCCTAAAGTTGCATACACATATAAATGCTTTTGTGTATCACTGTCAGTGTGTAAGGCCTTTATTAGCCTGCAGCTCCGTTAGACCTTTGCATTGTAATTACCCAGCACGCACTTGTACAAGCAGATCTGTCAAAACAGGTAGAAAAAGATCAAGTTCAGGCACTGAAAAGGTCATTTACAGAAGAATACTAAATGTCACCACACTTGTGGAATGATTGTGGGCGAGGTAATCACACACTGACAGGAATCTAAATGTCACCAAGTGGAGGTTAAAGTTTATAGTAGCTGCTGAAGTCACGGCCCAATGACATTGAAAGAAGTCGGATAACTGCCTGTATCTCACAAAACACACAATAGAAACAGATTAAAAATAAATATGAGTCTAGTTAAAGAGCAATGCATGGTTAGGTTTAAGTTCGGTCATTTTAATAATTTGCACAAAGACATTTTTTGTTTTTTCAGGTCACATTTGCAGGACTTTGCTGCATAATGGAAACATTGTTGTTTATTTCTTCTATCTCAGAAACAAAGTGTGTTTTAAACTAAGTGCAGAGGCTGGGAAAGCATGGAGAAACTTTAGGAAGCGTTTTTTTTCGGTAGAACAATAAAAACATCTTAAATATGCAAAAAGAAAGTGCGTTTGACTTTTTTGTGTCTGCATGTATCCTTATCCAAAAATAACCTCTAACTAAAATGTTTTTAGTCCAGGAAGTGCTCCTGTACAAAGAACATTGTGGGAAAAGGACAGATTGTTCATTGTGTGTCTCTTTGTAGTCATTTTGTGTCTCTCTGTAGTTGATTTGTGTAGCCATGGTAGTTGTTTTGTAGTCATTGTGTGTCTCTTTTTAGTTGCTTTGTGTCTCTTTGAAGTTGTTTTGTGTCTCTTTGTAATTGTTTTGTGTCTCTATGTAATAGTTTTGTGTCTCTGTAGTTGATTTGTATAGTTATTTTGGTATCAATATCTCTTTGTTGTTTTTGTTGTATCTTTGTAAATCTTTGTGTTCCTTTGTTTTAAAAACATCTTTCTGTAGTTGTTTTCATGTTTTTGCAGTAGTTTTATTTATAATCGTTTAGTGAAGAACTCTCTTCTTGGTAGTTTCTATTTTTGTGTACATTTTTTATTCTCTAGTTGATTTGCATTATCTTGCAGTAGTCGTTTTTCTTTCTGTTTGTTTAGTGTCTCTCTGAAGTCCTTTTGTGTCTCTTTGTATTCAATTTGCATGTCCTTCTGTAGTTGTTTTGTATCGTATTTTGGTACTCTATATCTCTTTGTAGTTTTTGTTGCATCTTCCTGGACCTTTCTGATGCTTTGTAGTTCTCTTAAAACATCTTACTGTAGTTTTGCATCTCCTTGCATTTTTTTAAAGTTACTTGGTGTCCCTCTGCAGTCCTCTCTTTGTAGTAAGTTGTATGGGTGTATTTAATTTCTTTATGCTCTGTCGTCAATTAGAATTATTTTGCATTTGTTTTTTTCATCATCCTTCTGGCCATTTGTGTCTCTTTGAAGTTATTTTGAACTTCATTCTGTAATTATTTAGTATCTAACTGAAGTAGTTTTGTGTCTGTATTTTTTGCATTAGGTAATCCATCGAGAATATGAATATATTTCTAAACATGGCTTCTTACCTCACCGTCAGCCCTGGCCCTGCTTTACTTTCATGCATAATGTTATGTAAGGTTAGTTTACCTTTCTGACTGAAGGCATTTCAGTGGCCTCTCCCTGAACTCTGCACCCTTAACTATCCTGGCTATATATATATTATGTAATAATCTCTATTCAAACAGTGCACCCTTTCCCTCATTTATCAACCACTTTATTACCACCTCTCCCCATTCCTACGTTTGTGAAATGCTTCACCTAACAGCGTCCTTTATTTCATCACCCACACCCCGATCAACAGCGGTGAGGAAATGCATGCCGTTCCTCTGCAGAGGAACACAATGACAGCCATCACTCAGCGGTAGGGGGTGCTGTGCCAACATGTGACTCTGCAGGCCAAACCTGTGTATGTGCAAACTATCCTCATATGTCCTGCCGAAAAGATTAAAAAATTCATCAGGTGTCATAGAGTACGGTAAGTTATATTTTTTATCTGCGCTGTGACACTTTAACCCAGTGTTTCTCAAAGTGGGGGGTGCAGAGGCATGACAGGGGGGGCACGAGAGACCAGGAGGAAAACATTTTCTTTAAAAAATAAATCATAATTAGAAAAATTATTGATTCGAAAATAATATAATACAGTACAAGTACGTCTGGGTCTATGAAATACTATATGATAGTAAAAAAAGAATAAAGTTTAAAAGGGTGATTTGTAAAATATCCATAAAGAAATAGTAAATCTGTTACCAGTTCTGTTTCAAATGGGTATTGAGAGATGTATCCATAGATCTCTTTATGTTGCTCTCAAAGTGCACCAGATTGATGCTTTTAACTTCAACATTTAAAAAATATCTTCCTGGTGGTGCATGCCCCCAAACTTTAAGTAGACTTATCTTAGTTTACATTTGTAGTCTTATCTCAAAATCCTTAGTTCACATAAATGATGTCTTAGTTGTAT